CTTATCATTATCACAAATAACATCACTTTGTCCCTCCATATCACAGTGTACTGCTCTTCTTTTGTTTTTTTTTTCACATATTAGCTGAATATGTTTGAAGCGTAAATTTACGGTCAAATAAAAGAATAAATAAATAAAATAATTTTATCGTGCAAAATGATAAAAGCTAGTTAAACCCGTTTGAGTAAATAACATGCTTAAGAATGTTTATTAACTATATTTCGATTGCTCAATCTAAAACTGGATTGAGCTGAACTGACAAACAGCAATTTAACGTCCCTACCCGTGAACCATCTACAACTTATGAATTACCAAAAACGCATAAACAGTTTCTTTAAAGATTTTGAGGAAAAGGCTGGGTTAGTTTATCATTATTCTTATATATACCGTTAATGTAGTTTAGAAAATAACTAGGCAAAACAATTCCAGAAATCTAACAAGATCAAGCCTTTTTTTATGATCGATCTTCTTTATTCCATAGATGTAGTTTAAAGAATAGACATCATACAACTGGCGAAGGTGATTTGAAGAAAAGAAATTCGAAAATCAGTGTTTTTTCTTTACATTTTACTCCGAGAGAAGTTGTCCACATAGTTGGGAATGAATCATATATTATCGTCCAAATTTTGATAAATAATATTTTGAGTCAAAGAGCTTCTTTCTTCTAATAAAAAATATCTGACATCATAATATATGTAGGTAATAAGTCTAATAAAAAAGATAACTTTATCCATCAAGGACACCTAGATCAATGAACTACCAAGAAATAAATATAAAGCTTATAATGATCAGCTGTAATCACCCCACTATTTATTGAACGATTAAAACAGGCAAGAGAATGAGAAACGTTCATTATAGAGCTGTTACAATTACACAATAATAATGATGATGATATCATTGTTTAACACTTCATACCACTGAGATTGTTCGAGTTTGTGGCCTGTGACCTGTGGCCATAGTCACATAAATTTGGTGTCAAGAATTTTTATTTAAATTGTTGAAAGCAACTTTTATTGCCAGTCAGGTAAGAAAAGGCACGTTTACTTGATAAATCAATAACTTTATGACTGATTTAGGTAAATAAAGCTTACGTTAAATCAGTTTAGAACTAATTTTTTTGGGAAATATAAATTTATTTTTTATTACAATCAATTTAATCAAATTGTAAGCATCAATAACCTTTAAAAAAAAAATTTATATATCAAAATTGCCATATTAATCTTTTGTCACATATATATTTTTCCTATTTTACAATTTTTTCATTAAAGAAGGTTCATGCCTTCTTAAACTTTCTGGACTTTTTTGATGCATACTTGAACAAATGTTTTCTAAATGTTTTCTATCACTAGAACATATTGAGCCTGATTGATCAAGTGCAAATATAATATGAAATGCTGCTTCTCTTTTATTTGGGTTATCACAGCCAAACTGATGACCATCCAGTGAAATATAACCAATACCAGTTGATGTTCCAGATGATGGATTTAAAGGCTTATGGAAAATTTCCAATTCACAATAAGACTTTGTGGGAATTGCATTATTAGAACTTTGTTGCTTATTGTGAGCTTCATCTGGACATTCATGATCACATTTTGCAAATTCTGCTTGTTCTTGTTCTGAATATGGATCTTTAAAGCCTGTTCTTTCCCAAAATAATTTATGAGTTACATAATCTTTTTTATTATCAGGATTGGGTTCAAGGGGTACTAATCATTTTAATAATTAATATTAGATTTAAAATTTTTATAAAAATTTTCATAAAATAAAATGAAAAAAATGAATACCATCTAAATGTATTACTTCATGCCCTTGTTGTCCATTTTTACATGCCTCCACATTTTGACAATAATCAATATGTCTATGGCGACCTAATTCTTTACAATAAAAATTACAAAGAACAAAAGAACCTTGATCTCCAATTTGTAATTTATGTCCTTTATACTCAAATTCATCATTCTCTGCAGTAAATCCTCCAGTAAATTCAGTTTGTACCATATTCCCATGGGTAGTTTCATGTAAAGTTTGTGAATGTCCATGAGGCAAGTTGCAATAATATTCACAAAATTGACATTTTTTATCACAAAAATGAACTCCACTTTCATTATGTGAGTGTATTCCTTCATGCTTGAAGGAGTTGGGTGGTATTCTTTTAATACATCTCATCCTTTCACTTTGTTGAATATATTTAAAAAAGCTAATTGAACTTTCTTTAATCAACACTTTATATGTTGCTTCTTCTTTTTTGGGTTCAGTTAAAATTTTACAAATACCTGGCTCTTCACAATCCTCAAGACATTGGTGGTCATTACCACAAAAATGATTAACTGTGGATTCACTACTGTAAGCATGAAAATGATTATTACTCTGGCATCTATTCTGACAATCTGAAATTGGACATTCAATTGGACATGTCTCATTTTCACAATGATGTTGATCATGCTCAAGTTCACATGGTATAATGCATATGTTTGGACATTCATAATCACCTTTGTTGGTTGATGTAAAGAGCGAACATGGCTCTCCACAATAATGATGTTTTGATTGACACATGTGTTCATCATCTTTATGTCCAATATTTTTTGAACATACTTTTTGACAATTATGTCTATCACTAAGCTTACAAGGTTTTCTACATAAATGGCTGGCTTTATTACATGCATGTTTCCCATCATGTCCTGCTTTATAACTACAAGTTGGAACATAAGAACTATGTGCTTCTGTAAATTGACAAGAAAAATGGCATTTATGGTAAGTCTTGCAGTCATGTTTGTCAGTATGACCAAGATTTTTAAGGCAATGTAATCCACAATCCTGACATGAAAGTCCACATAATGTCCAAAAAAGCCTAAGATTGTTGATTTCTTTTTCAAGGGCATATTTTCCAATAACTACTTCACTATTGTCTTGTGGAAATTTGGTGATGTTTTGTAAAAACCATTGCTCAACACGATATATTCTTCGTTCAATAATAAATTTGAAAAATAATTCTAATTTATTAAACCATTCTGAATCATTAGCAGATTCTTTTCGTTGTTGAATATTTTCTTCAAATTGATTTCTCAGATCATATGAAAAATCAATAAAATCAGCATTTTCTTCAAAGAGTAAAACATCTGAATCTGGAAATAATTGATTTTGTGTATTGAATGTTTCTGCAAATTTAGGTAAATGAGGTTGATCATCTATTTTCTTTCCTGTATCATAAATTATTAAAGGCTTAATCTCTTGTTCATTTTGCTCTAAACCATAAGATATAGCTACTGGAAGTGTTTTTTTTAAAATTGATAAATGCATTTGAACAAGATTTTCATCCAAAGATCCCCAATCACAAATTTTTAGCTTGGCCATAATGACTTTAATGTTTTGCAAAAAAGTTTGTGCATTTTGATATTTTATGTTTTGATTAATCAACTTTTTCCTGACAGTTTCCAAAGTTTTGAACCAAGCAGAATTGCTAAATAATGGCCATGGAAAAATAGTTAATCCACTTTTATACATTCTAGTAATAAAATTATCTTTTCCCTGTCTTTGAATCAAGTCCTCAAATCTGAGATAAAACTCATCAACAATTCCTTGTCGATCACTTTCATGAACATCTTTAATTATAATACAAAGTTTTACTTGAAAAATGTTTGAGTCAGATTTAAAAAAAGCTGCACCATCTTGAAATCTTTGAAAAATTTCTGACATGTCTCTACTAACAGCAAATTGGTTTTTAAAAAGTATCAAATTTGAAACCATTGTGTTAAACAAAGTTAAAAATAAGTCTTCTTGTGGTGTTCTTTCCAAAGATTTTAAACCTTCAAAATCAAGTGCAACATAAATATTTTTTTTTGTTATAACTAAAGACATCCACACTCCTTCAGTGCATCTCATTGCAGAACCATCAAATGTTGTTCCAACAAGGTGATTCAACATATATGATTTTCCACATGATTGCTCACCCATACTTGAAACAACTTTAACTTGTCTATTACCAAAATGTTTAAATATACCTTCATACCATCCAAGAGAAATACTTTCTGCAATACCATCAAAGCGACATCCATATTCAACATCAAAATCTACATCATGCTCATTTGAAGATAAACCATCCCGAAGTGGTTGAAATTGATTATTTTTAGCAACTGCAATCTGAATGGGTATTAAACATGAAAGTTGAATTACAAAATCTCCTAGTTGATATTTATTTGAATGTTTTGATATAAAATCATTTTCTTCAATGTCTAGTTCTGAAAATGTTGTAACAGTAGTTTTAAAATGCTTTAAAATAGATGCAGGTTTTTTTGTTTTCTTCTTTAATTCATTGAACATGCTAACAACATATTTTTCAAACTTTCTATCATAATTTTCATCTTTACAATCATCATTTATATCAAGGACAATTTTCAAATTAAGTGGCCGATTTTGTTCAGGATCTATGCAACTCTCAACTGGATACTTTTCAAACATTAATTTATATGCATCTATAAAACCATTAAGTTTTATCTTTGGTTCAATTTGAAAGTCAATCCATGTATCATCATCAAGTGATAAGGTCTGATATACACCTGCAACCTTCAATTCAGTGTTTGAAATTACATCAACAACACTTAATTTTTCTTTTTTAATAACAATGTACTCTCCTTTATGCACTGCATGTTTAAAACTAGTGTTTTTTCCTTTTAAACTTGAATAATTATTATTGTTAGAATCAGTGAAGATTCTCAGCAATTTAACTTGACCAACTAGCTTTCCTTGATTACACTGTTGAAATCTGTACTGGGTTTTTTCAAGTGTAATCTTAGTAACTAATGAAAGAAATAAATTATTTTTTATATCAATTGTTGTAAGATGTATTTGGCGATTATTTATAGATGAAAATTGAAGTAATTCTATTGAATTCATATTTGGGGGTAGTTCAACAACTTTATTTGAATTAAAAAAATTTTTAATATGTTAAATGAAAATAATTAATAAAAACCCATTCAAAATAAATTAGCTCAATTTACCTTTATTAGCAGTGTTTCCCATGTTAGAACAAAAATAAACATAGGCTTTAAATACATCACTTGGAGTATTCTTTGAATCCTTTTGTTTTTCCAAACATTCATCATCATATAACTCATCTTTTTTATCATCTTCTTCTTTGCCATCATCATATTTTTTGTCATTATATTCTTTGTCATCATTTCTTTTGTCATCATCTTCTTCATCATCTTCATCATCTTCATCTTCTTCGTCATCTTCATCATCTTCATCATCTTCATCATCTTTGTCATCTTTGTCATTTTTTTCACCTGTGCCATTTTCATCATTATTAGATGCTGTTGATTTTTCTTTCACAAATACTACAATACAAGAACCATCAGGTGTGCTTGACATGTTTATAGAATCTGGAGGAAATTGTAGTGTTGCAGGATGAAATTGACCAGTCACAAGGTTATAAATTTTTGTTTTACCATTAGTTTCTACAAAACATAATTCTTCAGTAGTTTTTATGAAGAAAAAGTGTTTAATATCTGGTGCTGAATTATTATAATATTGTAGAATTTGAATATTGGGGTTGCGACTATAAAGACTGGCTTGATTTTCATCAAATGCATAAACATTTAGCTAAAGTTTTTTGGTTTGTGAAAAATAATAAGTTATATATATTACTTACAATTATTCATTATAATGGATAAATACAAAAATAAATAAATAAATCAATTTACCACTCCTTTTTCAGCAACATAAATTCCAATTAAACCTTTGGGTTCATTTATAGCAAAAAGACAATCACCATCAGGATTTAATGTTTTTAGTGGTTTTAAATTTGATAATTGAAAAGCTGATTTTAAGCGATTAGAATTTTCAAAAAAAATTTCTATTTGATTTGATTTTTTATTCCGAAGTATTATTAGGAACTTTCCATTTTCAAATTGAGATATTTTTCTAAAAAATATTGCATTATTAATTTAATTCTTTGATTAATATCAAGAATATTGAAAAATTGATTACCTGAGTTCATATCTTTCTGGATCTATTTTGAAGGATGCATGTGAATTTTTATCATTGTCAAGATGAAGTTTTGGAACATGTAGCTCATATTTTTGAATATTTGAGTTTTCAGACTCTTCTAAACGTGTTTCATATAATGTGATATTTAGTTGATCAGGTTGTATTGACTCAATTTCATAAGTAAATGTTAAGCTATGAGTGTATCGTGCTAATTAACAAGCCAATTATGTTAACAGACAAGAAAATATTAAAGCACTTGATTCATGCAGAGTTTTAGAAAATAGATATTTAAATTAGAATTACCTTCTATTTTTAATAATTTAAAAGTTGTGCTGTCAATTTAAAATTAAAAATTAATAATTAAAAGATTATTTATAATACAAATAAATCATTTTAAATTATATTTTAATTACCCTTTTGAAAATTTTTCTTCAAGTATTGAACAAATTCTTTTAAATTCATGCTCTTCGATTTTTTTAGTGTCCTGTAAACTTTCTTTCATTAGATTTTCTTCATATTGATCCTTAATATCTGCATATTTTGGTATAATATCTTTAATATTACTAGAACATTGTACATTCCTCCAATTTTGGTATTCTCCAAAAAATATGCTAATAACTCTATCCCCTGTTTCTTGGGTCATGTTAAATAACTCAGAATTATTAAGTTGTTTAACAAATTTAGAGTCAGAAATTTCATTTGCCATTTGGGTTGCTTTTTGAATATTCCTTTCAATAACATGAGATTCAATGACAACGGGTTGAATAGTGTGAGAATCATCTTCATTAGAACTAGATCTCTTAAACATACTACCAATATTACTAATAAATGATTGAACAGTTGAAAGAAAATTTTTCTCCTGTGAAATGTCTGTGTATTTTTTTGTTAATTTACTATAATCTTTTTCTTCATCAAGTAACATTTTTAAAAAAAATTCTGAAATTATTTTTTTACATTCATTTGAATCAGAATTATCTTTTTTGTTAGAGTTGTCATTTGTTTCCAACTTTTCATTTGAATCGGGAATATCATTCGAATCTTGATCATTATTGAAATTTGAATTGCTGCCCAACTCTAAATTATCATTTTTTGGCATATTAAATATCTCCATAGTTATAAATGAACAGAATAGGAATCTCTTTTTCCAAGTTTTCCACAATTTTGAGTTTATTACAACAGCCTTTTCTATTTTTTGATTTATAGCTGGGTATTTTTCATAAACTTCTTTGATTTCTATTTACAATTAATAAGTATATAGCTGTTAAATAGGATCTAGTTATATTTATTATTTAAGAAGATTGCAACTTACTTGAATCATTAAATTTGGGCACTGTATTATCATCATTAATAATAACTTCAAATTTACTGTTAAAAAGTAATAAAAGGTCAAAATTATTCAATGGTATAATTAATTGATTTAAAATGTCATTATACCTGTAAGATTCTTTTAATCTCATCCAGGCCATGTTTGTTATGATTTCTGCATGCCCTTTAATTTCTTCGTTTTTATTTTGTTTTTCTTTATTAAATGTTGAGTTTATAGCTTTCAATGAATCATCATATGATTTTAATAAATCATTTTCCTCATCAAGACAAACTTCAATAAATATTTTTAGTGATTTCATGTCTATAGAATCTTCTATTTTGAGGGAATGGTCTTTAATAAGATCTTTAAATGATGATTTATTATTAGCATATTTTGAAAAAAACTTTGAATGTCTTTGCATATTTGGGGTTGATTTTATAATACTTTGAGTGATGAATGCTTGATGTGATACAGACTCAACAACTATTTTTAAAATTTTTTTAAGTTAATGGAATTGAAAGTATTCAAGTGGTAAAACAGAATAATGATAATACCAATAGGTTGCAATAAAGTCTTATTATGATGAATAATTTCAAGGTCAGGTTGAATAGAATTTGGTAGTTGAATCTAACATTTTCGTAACATTATAATAATACAAGGAGTAAGTAAATGTAATTAATAAATTATAAATATAAAGAAATCTTCTAACCTTAAAGCCCTTGTGTAACTGGAAGTCTTCTTTTTCTTCTTGGCTTTCTTTGACTTCAAATTCATAGCATGCATCATCATCATCATCATCATCATCATCATCATCATCCTCATCATTATTTTCATTGTCAACATCATCATCACTATTGTCATCATCATAGTCGTCATCCCTTTCATTTCCTATTTCCCATTCAAAAGATTTTAAATCATTTTTACTCATTAAACATATCTGGTGATCAGTCAATTTTGTGAGATACCTATAATAAATATAATTTTTTAGTCATTAATTATAATATGATAGGTGAATAAAAATTTTTAAATAAATTTTATTTACCTATGAAAGTTAACCATATTTTTTTTTAGTTGATCAGTTGCATTATCTTCATAACAACCAGGTTCAGGCCAATGAATTACTAGACCTAAATTAACATTCACAATCAACAAATAAATTCCTGAATGTAGAGAGGGGCTCCCAGTTTTATTTGAAGATACAAGCAATTTATACCTAAAATTTATATGTATGTTAGTTGTCAACAATTAAAGGATTCATGGTTAAAAGAAACAATAATTCAATTTACATTTTTCGGTTAATAGTTTTTTTAATTAATAACAGCTTTGCAATCAATTCATAGTTCCCATAACACCCAACAAGATGGAATGATACTCTATTTAGTTCTGTATATTTAATATCTGATGCAGATTTAAAGCTACTAGGAGCCAAGTCATTACAAAACTTTTCCAATGATTCCTTTGATATAATTATTTTGTTAACTAAAAAAAGAAAGTCGATCAATAAACTCGAAAGTCTCACATGATATTGACAAATCACATGATTAACTAATGTTGACACATACCGAGACCATTTGATCCTTCATCTTTTTTTAAATCTAACAAAAGATATAATCCCGGAATATAATCCAAAAGATTTTGTCCACTTCTAATATTATCATTTGGATTATTATAGGAATTTTCACGTTTGGAGATTATCTTTAAAATATCTTCCTTGGTTTTTTTGAGGTCATCTAATGTTTTATTTTTATTTTTAGACTCGTTATTAGACAAATCATCCGAACTTTCTGAATCATTGTGTTCAGGGACTTTTGAATCGCCAAGGGAAGACAAATTTTCATCTTTATCAGATAAATTTTTATTGATATTTGCACCAAGATTTTTTGGAATTGCATTTTCTTCGACAGATGACAATAAATGGTCTTTTTGTTGATTAGGTTCAAACGAATCATTAAAATCTTCTGTCTCGGAGATTTTCGAATTATAAAATGTAGGAAAATTGTTATCGTGATCAAAGAATGTTTTTGATTGATCTAATTTTGTCTTGCCTTTGTCAAAAAAATTTTTGTCCATATTGTCGTTAAGGCCTTTTAAACCAGCATTTTCTTCGACGGAAGATTGATTATTTGTTTCAATGGAGTAAATAAAATCATCAAACGTGCCAAAACTCACATTCGTAGCACTACTATTAACATCATGACCATCTGTTGTCTGGGAAGAAGTAGACGAATCATTGTATTGATCAGATGAAGAGCCGATAGCTCTTGAGGAATCATCATTAGACACGTTAGAAGAAATGGTTGGTCCAGGCGAGACTGGAGAATTGGTAGAGTTACCTGGTTTTGTAAAAACCCCGATTTAACGCGTTAATTTGTATTGCTATAGGCAAGAAATTACTTTCAAAAAGATTTTACTTACTACTATTTTCTGATATTTCGGGACGAATTTGCATTTTTAATTATTTTGAATTCTGAAACCAATAGTAAGTATTTTATTTGGTTAAAAAAAAGATTATGAAATAAAAAATTAATCTTTAAATATTTGTGAAAACATCCCATTCTTTCCAAATAAAGAAAAGATTGCCGGCAAAGAAATAAGAATCTGTCATTGAGGACAAATTTGGGGAAACAAAAGTTTAGCGTGTAACATTCTTATTGAACCATAGATAGATGGTTTTAATTTACGCGAGCTAGAATTGACAAGTTTTTATTTTTCCAACAAATTAATATTGCTATTTTTATAAAAAAAATGCCCAAATTCGTCAAAAGAGATCATCATCATATGTTGAAAATCATACTTGATGGTTAAAAAACAAACAACAAATAATTATGTTGCCTTGCCGTATTATGAGTTTAAATATTAGATTATTTATCGAATCTGTTTAACACTAATGATAGTAAATTTTGAGAATCATCATTAACAGTCGCTTTATCACTACTATCATCATCATCACAATCACAAGTATGCAAATTATACAGGTAATGACGATTGGTTTGTTTTTAACAAGCCTGAATTTTTTTTGTCAATCCAACTAAGAAATAAAGTGCAAAACGGTATAGTTTTGGAACGATAGAAAGTGCAAATTTAGTCAACGTCACAAACAGTATTCTAATAAAATGAATGATAATAAAATCTCAAACCTATAACTTCATATTTGAAATAAACCATTTTTAAATTACAATCTGATTTTAAATCATCAATCACACTATTGCCATTTGAATAATCAATTATTAATAGTGAGCTTGTTAATGAAATTAAAATGATGACCGATCAACTCGATAAGTCAGTCATCAAGTACAGTCGGAACTCGTTAAATTGGTGTGCTTGTTTTGGGCTCAAAACATCGTTTTATCCAACATTTGTTTTATTGAGTGGTCTTCGATAAAACGAAGTTAATGTATTTTTTTAAAAAAAAATCGGTTTAAAGAGTTATACATACATCAAAATTTACATATTCGTTTATGCTACATTGAAGAACAATATGTACTACTGCAAATCGTTTATAAAATAAAGCAAAGTTTCCTTCGATAAACCGTATTATTCGTCTTATCGAGTTATATTTAATACCGTCTTAAACATTTAAGTGAACAATAGGAATATTCGTCTTATCGAGTTGGTTTTATTAATTAGGGGGAACTAGAAAAACTTCGTTATAACAAAAATTCGTTTTATCGAGTCACGTCTTATCGAGTTCTGACTGTATTAGGAATTTTTAAGTAATATTTCCTGGGTAGATATGATATTCAAACTCGAATTATTAATTCGATTCGAAGAATCAAATTAATCGCAAAATATTCGTTTGATTTGAATACTTTAAAAAATTGATGTGCGGGTCACATGATAAACAATCAACAACTAAAGTGAGAAGTATAAAATCAACCAATGAAATTCAAGGATTAGGTTATCGCCTAACAAAATAGATTACTGCGTTAGGGTTGGGAAAGCAGAATCAATGGGATACATGTGCTGTCTGTATTACTTTGTATTAAAACTCAGATCAAAGGAGTTACAAAAAAAGCTTTGTTAATAAAAAACAAGTCAATAAATGTTTGAATAATTGTAAGCATTTCTGAATGAAAGTCAAAATTTTGATAATAATTCTGTAAATATGGAAATGGCGATAATGACATTACAGCTACAGAATAATCAGAATGAATAAGATTTGAGGAAGGAGTAGCACGTATCGAAGACAATGAATTAAGCGATAAATTGGACGGTTTAAAAGAAGTTTCACGTAATAATAAACTTAAAGATATGCGTGATCATTTACTTAGTACTTGAATCATAATATATTATATTAACATTGTCTGATTATTTGTTGCTTTGGAAAAACACATGTTACAAAGCACTCCTGTTATAATGTCACTCCGTGCAAGCAAAAAATGTCAGCATAATAATAACAACAATAATAACGAAATTGTCATTATAACGGAAATTCATGTTAGAATCATTAATTATTTTTGAAAATAAAAATCCAAACTAATTTGTTTAGCTTCTATAAAATTCTGATTTATTATTTTTTTTTTTTTAATTCTTAGTAATCCGCCACTATAAACTTTGGTTCTTGTTCTTGTTATATACAAGTAAGAAGATTTACACAACTTTTTAATGCATAAAATTTTTCTCCTCTTCTTCCTAAAGTTGGCACCCGTAATGTAAATTACGGTATTACTGGTGTTGCAACTAATCGCAATGTTGTAATATTTGTTTCTAACAAATAAAAGGTAGATCACGATTTTTCAATTCCTTTTCACCCACAAGTATGTTTAAAACCATTTATTTTTCATATTTTTCTTATAATAATTAAAGATGAATTTTGATACTGATAACAAAAAAAAACTTGGTCCAAAATATAGTGATATTAATATCTGGAATATTTTAGACGTGGTAACATCTTGGTAATGGATATTATACTAAACTACGTGTTTGTCATTTTTTAAAGATGCCCGACCGTATCAAATGTTTTATGGGACAATATAAATAAAAAATTGGCTAACTGCATCGTGATTATGTTACAACACTATGCATAGTTTTTATGAAATATGTAAAGTTGCGAGTATGTTGCAGCATTTGGTATTTGATTACAGACGACAAACTTGCTTCTTCCTCTTCTTCTTTATTTAAACCAACAGCAATAATTTCTTCTAATCCAGGCATTGATTCAATTTCGTAAGTATTATCACAATTAATATAGTCTTCTATTGTTATTGATCCTTTATAATATTCATTCATTATATTTTGCAACTCTAATTCAGCATTAACCTCACTATTTTCATAATTAATATAATCATCTAAATTATCAACTTTTTTCCAAGAATTAATAATGGTTTCGCTTTTAACTAATCAATATTTTATTGATTACTTAATCATGATTTTTCAAAAATGATGTACTGACATGTCATTATAACGAGTGTCATACTACGAGATAAATTCTATAATTAAAAAATTTTTTTTTGACAAATTATGTCATTATAACGGGTTAAATAACGAGTGCCATTATAACAGACGTAAATTTATATTAGTAAATTTGTTTTTTTAAAGAAATTCCATTATAACGAATGTCACTATAACGGGAACTATTACTATATATACTATGTGTCATAGTAATAGTAATAGTAATAGTAAAAAATATGTGGTATAATGAATCATATTTTTCGAACTTTTGATTCGATTAATTTACCCGTTCAATTCACTTCCATAATGGAGGAAAACGTAAATGGGTTATTTGTCAAATTAACATGTCTAAAGCTCGCTGAGCTTGCCGGTATTATTACTACTGCCATCGTAGTGTTGCAAGTCGACTGGAGGGTCATAAGTCGTGACTAGTCGACTGGATTTTTTTCTAGTCGCAACTCAGTCACGACTAGGTTTCAGTCACGACTAGTTTCAGTCACGACTAGTTTCAGTCATGACTAGATTTCAGTCACGATATTGATACAAACATCAATTAGATGCAATTATGGCTTAATCAAAATGCTAATAATTTTTTCTTCAAAAAAATTTTATTAAATTAATAAATATTAATAATTTATTTTATTTACAATTCTTCTGAAATATTTTTGTAAATTTTCTTTCAAAAAAATGACATTTTTAACTGTTGACGGATTTAACCGATTTCTTTTATTTGTAATTAAATTTCCGTTCTGAAGGAATATATGATGACAGTATTCCTAATTATTTTCTGGATAAATTTGATAACCTTGGAAAAGTTGTTTGTTGCATTTATTAGTATTAAAAATTATTTTTATTGTTACTATAAAATAACTTGTATAGTATGCACACACTTCTATTATAGACCACGAATTACAGTAAAAATATTAATATTGAAATCTAGTCGCGACTGAAATCTAGTCGCAGCTCAGTCGACTAGAAAATTTTCTAGTCATGACTGAATGCAAATCGACTAGTCGAAACTGTGACCAGTCGACTGGTAACACTAGAATTCATCACCTCCAACTACCCTTCTTAAATGGTCTGGGAGTTGGTGATGGTGGTGATTCTAAAAATTTAAAAAATTAAAAATTAAAAAATTAAAATGAAATTTATAAGTTTATAAACACATAAAAATATACAAACCATGTTTCTTATAGCTCTCATTAAGCCTGTGAGCCTATTTCCTTGATATGGCCTTTTTTTCTTTAGGTGCCATATCAAGTCTTGATCCAACCTCCTGCACCAGTCCGCACCAAATACAGCACAACCATCTTTTTCCAATTTTTTAAATAAATCGGATGATGGGTTTCTCTCATCATCAATTTTATCAGACACAGCTGATAAAAATTCAGCACACTTTGATGCTGGCCAAAAGTATGGATGTACCATAACTTTTTTGGAATCTGGCCTATACACATATATTTTGAGGATTGTAGTTTTTTTAATGACAAATTGTTCTTATAATAAATTAATAATTTACCTTTTGGATTGATCAAGGTTAATCATTCCTTTGATCAGATCTTTTTCTTCTTCTTCAATTCCATTTAACCTATGCATTCCATTCATAATATTTTTTTCTCTAGACATATCCACCGATTTGCGCAACCTAATGGGGTACAAAATTTTGAAACAACAAAAATTTAGGGTTCTTGTCGATCGTCACCAAATGTAAAATTACTATTAATAATTAGCGCAAAAATTCACAGTAGGTAAGAGAAAAGAGTAGAAAGGAAAAGAAGAGTCTTAGTGAATATCTTTTTACATTTTGGGAAAAGATCCTATAAATTTTAATTAAGACTATAACCTATTTTATTCTATAATGAACTTTTATTATTATTAAGAAATTAATTCTATATATTATCAGATGTTTTCCCAAACAGGTACTTTAATTATTACAAGTTAATTTTTATTGCTTATATAATAAAAATATAATAATCTTAATGTTATATATAATATGGAAGTATAATAAAAATAATAAATTGATTATCTTTGAATAAATTAATAAATTAATAATACATAGATAAGTCAGTCACGCGATAAGTCAGTTTTGGTCTAACTTGGCCAAAATTTTCCACCCTTTTTTTTACTATTTAAAAAAATTCGATAATTAAATTAAGGATACCGGCTGCAACTTTTGATGATGGTTGCTACCACCTTTGCGTCATATAAAAATGATTGCAACCACTGGTTGCAACCACCTTTACAACCATTTTGTTTCCTTTTTTGGATTGCGACATGGAACACTAAATTAAATCCATGAAAATGATCTGAAATAAAATACATCAATCTATCCTTTGTCTCGAATAAAGATAACAATTTTAAATCCATGAAAATTATCTGAAATAAAATACATCAATCTATCCTTTGTCTCAAATAAAGATAACAATTTTAAATCCATGAAAATTATTAGATCTAATTTGAAATAAAATAAAATACAATCAATTTCTAACCTTTTGTCTCGAATAAAAATAACAATTTTAAATCTATGAAAATTATCTGGAATAAAATACATCAATTTCTATCCTTTGTCTCAAATAAAGATTAGAAGAAAACAAAACACTTCTTTGAAAGATAAATCATTTCTTTTTTTAATTCTTAATTAGTAGATGCAAGGAAATTATAAATAAATAATCATAATGAGTATTTGCTATATAATAAACCAATGCAATAATAAAATTTGCAAAAAAGTATTTTTAAAAAAATTGACTTCTTCATCTTCAAATGCATCAAGCTCTGATTTTGAAACACATAATTATCCTTCGAATAAAAAAATAACATATAAAACCCCCAATAATTCATTCATTTATAATATTATTAATGAAGGTATTTATCCTGATGTTCCAAAATATACTCAGGCCAATTCTAATGGTTGTAAGTACCCTATACCTGATGAGTACTTAGTCGAAACTGAATTCGGAAAAAAGAAGCATATACTCAGATGTTCTACTAAATACCATGACAATAGGCCTGTATATTATTTGAATTGGAATGATAGTGAAAATGAAAATCTCCAAGTAACATCAGAAAAATCAGCAACAGATGCCACTCAAAAATATTTGAAGGTATTTCAATAAAATTCCCATTTATACATGGGATGGTAATTACCTAATTGCCGTAAATACTTAATTCGTAATAACGTAATTAATTACCACTTTCACTCTTTGAAAACGTAATTACGTAATTAATTATGGACGATGAATTTAATTTCGTTGTTACACGTAATTATTTCATAATAGTATTACGTTTTTGCAAAACAATTACCGTCCCATGTATATTCCCATTCCTTTTGTTTATAAATATGTAATTTTAAAAGTGATTTAACATATTATTTATTACAATAGGAAATTGATAAAAAAACTACTAGAATGTCTGGAGTTTTGTTATTCGGGTTTCAGCTTCAATGTGTACATAATCGACGCATTAATAAACAAAAACGCAACACAGTTATTCCCTTTGAAGAAGTAAAAGATTCTACACATAGAAGTCGTTTAAAAGTCTTTGGAAAAAATTATATTAGACGATTTTAATGAATCATCAGATAATATTTTAAATTCCAATTCAAGTGAACTTATTGGAATTACATTAAAAATTAATGATCAATATTATTATCTTTGCTTTAATGAAGATGAAGATGGAAAAAAATTATATGCTGAAGCAGTGGTTCAACAACTTGATCAACATAATATATCACAAAGTGGATATCGTAGTCTAGCAAAACTTGAACCTAATTTACCACAAGAAAATATAACATCAAATGTAAAAAAAGAAAATACAAACCTGATGAATGCTGAAATTCCCATAAATACAATTAATATTTATTCACAAGATGTTGATGAAGGTGAAAATGAAAATGAAGAGGATGAAATAGAAGAACATGATAATTTAGACATTGAACTTGAAAATGAAATTATAAATGCTCAAGGTGAAGGTGGATATCACAGTATAAAGAAAATTTTAACATTTGTAATTAAAATGCTAATTAATCAAAAAGTACTTGATTATACTTTGGATGATAATGTTCATATTAGAATATCTGGAGATGGAAGAAATGTTGGTAAAAAAATCAAGCATGTCATGATTACATTTGCAATTATGAATAATAAAAATGCTATTTTTCTACCAGATCATCATTATAGCTTAGTACTATATTCTGGTATTGAAAAATATGAATATTTGCAAAAAGCTTTACACCAACTTATAGAAGAGCTTGATGATATTGACAAGAATGGATTTATTGATTCAATTGGGCAAAAATGGAGAATAACTATATACTTTAGCAGTGATTGGAAATTTTTATCAATTTGTTTAGGAATAAACAACGCAACTGCAAATTATTTTTGTCCATGGTGTCTGTGTTCAAAATTTGATCATAGTAAATTAGAGAAAGAATGGAAAATTTCAAAAAAAATGGAAATCATAAGAGTCAATTATCAGACATATCCAGGACATAAGCTTCAACCCTTGTTCCCTATGATTCCATTAACTCACTGGATTCCAGATGAATTACATTTGATGCTTTGTATTACTGACCGTCTTTGGGTTCTAATGTTATCTGAAACAAATTACCAAAGTTCTGAAGAAACAAGGGAACAAATAAAAAAAGAAATGCTTAGAATTGGTGTACATTTCCAATTTTGGCAAAACCCAGATTCAAAGAATTGGAGTTATACCAGTCTTATGGGTGAAGACAAATTAAAAGTTCTAAAAAATTTTAATTTAGAAAGTATTTTACCGGAGAATAGATCAATTATAATTCATCAATTGTGGAATGGTTTTGATAATCTTTATACAGCCTTACAAGATCCTACAACAGACCCAATTGTTTTTAAAAATCAAGCAAAATCATGGTTGACAAAATTTCTAACACCATCAATGGGAGATCCACGTAGAAGAAACTATGTAAAAGGGTTGTACACAAATAATGATGTGACTCCTTATATTCATGTTTTGGTTCACCATATGTATGAGTTTATGACAATTCATAACAATTATGGAGTTAAGGCATTCACATGCAGTCCTGTTGAAAAAAAAAACCATATGCAAATAAGTAAATATTTTAGAAAAACCTTGAAAGATGGTGGAAAGGGGAGAAAAAA